GGGGGTCTGGCCTCCCAGGCCGAGGTGCGCAGCAGCATGTGCTGCCTTCCTGGCACTTGGCTATCATCTAAAGGGTTCACTGCCCTTCTGAACTTGTGGGGTGTGCTGCAGGTGCTAAAGGTGAGGGTTTTGTGCCCGCAGAAGGGAGTAAAGGACTGCATAGAAATCATAATACAGGATCATCTAAAGGGTTCACTGCCCTTCTGAACTTGTGGGGTGTGCTGCAGGTGCTAAAGGTGAGGGTTTTGTGCCCGCAGAAGGGAGTAAAGGACTGCATAGAAATCATAATACAGGATTGTGTCAGGTGTTGCACTGGAGGCTAGTGGTTGTTTCTTAGACGACTTTTAACACTATAGAGTAGTGGGCCCATATTCTTGCCCTATCAGACTGGGACCTTTTACGATCTAGTTTTCGTTCCCCTAGCATGTCAAAAATACTGAAATGTGCTGGAAACGAAGACATAATAACACTCAGAGCAGAAGACAATGCAGACACACTGGCTCTAGTGTTTGAAGCACCAAGTAAGTGTTATGTTTAGTAAATAATTTGCTCCTGTGATGTTTTTAGGTGATCTTCCTAAGTATGTGGTGATCTTCCTGTGTCTGGGTGGTGGGGCCAAGAAGAAATACTTCAGAAGCTGGAAGGCTCTCAAAAATGGGACTAAACAAGATGGATCCAGTTATCCTAACTGAGGTGTTTTTACTCCGGAAAAAATTTTGGGTAGAACTTAAATTGAGGATGATGGCTTTTTTAAACACTTTGTCGGACTAAGCTTTGTTTGTTTTAGATCAGGAAAAAGTGTCTGACTATGAGATGAAGCTAATGGATCTGGATGTGGAGCAACTTGGAATTCCAGTAAGTAGCGACAACTGAAGTGTAGTGACTACATCAAGCTTCTTGGTAGAAGTTTAATTGTGACACTTCCTTTGCAGGAGCAAGAATACAGTTGTGTAGTGAAGATGCCTTCTGCTGAGTTTGCACGCATCTGCAGAGATCTCAGCCACATTGGAGATGCAGTTGTCATCTCTTGTGCCAAAGATGGTGTGAAGTTTTCAGCTAATGGAGAGCTAGGAAATGGGAACATCAAACTGTCACAGACCAGTAATGTGGATAAAGAGGAAGAAGCTGTAAGTTGTGTTGATGGCTAGCTGTTGTTCTCAGGGTTAAGGTTTCTGCTAGTAACTTACTCTCTATGGTAGTGTCATAGGCCACCTACAGGTAGATAAAGATGGGTTGTTTTTCTCCACTTTGTAGAAGCGAGTCAACAAATCACTGCCAACTTTGGCCCCTTAGCCCTGGGGTCTGCCGTGCAGTGCTAAGCAGAACAGAGTGGGGAATAGTGCTGGCTGTTCTCTGCCTTTGCCTGAGGTGTCTAGGTCCGTGACACTGATTTATTTGACAAACTTGGGGGAGCTTGTGGCTTGTGTTAATTGAACTCTAACCTGGCTGATGTTCTCCTAGGTTACAATAGAGATGAATGAGCCTGTCCAATTAACCTTTGCTTTGAGGTATTTGAACTTTTTTACCAAAGCCACTCCACTGTCACCTACAGTCACACTCAGCATGTCTGCAGATGTTCCTCTTGGTAAGTAGAAGCAGCTCTTCTGGGAAGTAACCCTGTAGAGCACTGTCCTCTTAGAACTATGTTGAGAGGGCTTGATTGGCTTTTTCTGAACTATTTTCTGAATATTTTTTCCAGTTGTGGAGTACAAGATTGCTGACATGGGACACTTAAAATACTATCTGGCTCCAAAGATTGAAGATCAACAAGAAGGTTCTTAATTGGGCTGGGAGATCTGCTCAGCTCTTTGGAGAAGACAACTGACTTTGTGAAGGAAATTGTCCGCACAGTTCAGCAGTTTCAGTACATTGGACCGTCAAATGAGCACTGTTAGGCGTGTTTTGTAGATACTTTTGTAAATATTTTTCAGCTTACTGTTTTGCTATACTGGTGTCATTCAAAATAGGAATTTTTGCTCTTCTAGATTATTCCTGTTCCTCCAATAGTCTTTATATGCTGTCTTTACTTAAAGTCTTCTACTCCTTTTGATTTGTGTTAGAGAAGGAGTGCAATATTTAACTTGAGTAAATATGATGTTGCCTAGTTTTACCTGTGAACTGTAGTTCACTAGGGTTACTGTTTAATGATGCCAGGAGTTCATTCAACCTTTCTTTATATGTTTATTTTTGAAGCGGTATTCTAACTGAAATGTGGAAAATGGAAATAAACATGATTTGACCTTTTTTATCCTGTTTGGGTATGGATGAACTACAGTTTTGTTGAACTGTGTTGATGGTACACTTGCCCCTCTTCTGAAAACTGGCTCGAACAGGCAAGCTTATGCTTGTATTGCTCTGGAGCTCCCAGCTGCTACTGATGGTCATGAGTAGCAGACAAGGGCGGCTCAATCCCTGGGTTAACTACACTGAAGTGGACAGGACACTTGGAACTTGAATAACTAATCCCTCAGTGATGCTGTCTGCTTTAAGCAGGTAAGGCTTGTGAAAGGCCTTGAGTGCGTTAGCTTCATAACTGTTGCTCAGCAAATGCAAGAGCTGACTCTAACAGGGACTGTTCCTGTAGCTGTCAGTATTACTTGAAAATCAAGTCTGAGAGCGTATAGGCCTGCTGAAGTGTGATAGTGACTAAAAGCTGCTTGACCTGATGGAAGGCTGTGGAAAACCTTTCCATTTTCAGCTCTGCCTCTGTTTCTAGTTTATTTACATCAAGTCACTCCTCAAGTCTCTGCGTGTTGTATTCATTCAGTGCCTTCAGCAGTGCAGTCCCTGGAGCTATTGGCAAGGCCTCTTGATTGAGGGTCTTGGTGATCATATTGAAGTATAAAAAGTAAAGTACACGCATATAAGATTTAGAGCATGTTTTACTCTGAGGGCTTGATCATGAAGGCTGTAACCAACTTGAAAAATAGGATTTGAAAACAGTTTTAGGCAGCTACTTTGGTTTTTTTCCTGTGGTGTTGCCAGAAATCCAGGCTGGAGGGTAAGTGTTTATGGGTATGTGAGCAACTCCACTCTTAGGAATGAGGAACTAGAAAAAAGGCATTTGGCTTGATCAGTGCTCAGTGGTATTAGGACTTACAAAGGGGCCTGTTCAGTCCTGTGGGTGTATTTGTATTTAGGAGGCCCTATACATAGTCATCTATAGGAACTTGGGTGTAAAGTGGCTGCTGACTTGTTAGTTGCATAATCTTAACTCTTCAAAGGTGGTTTAGCAGAAAAATTTCACAAGGTGGCAGTACTAGATTGAGGTAAGAGGCATAATTTCTGCTGTGTCAGAATGATACAGCTTCCACCATGATTGTAACTAGCTCCTGCTCAAAGCCTTGGACTGGATTTTTTTAATGCCTCTTGCCCTCTATTCTTAATGGATAGTAGTACTTGTTTCTTGTTAGAAACCCTTTTAGACTTCAATTTGCTGCTGCTGCTATAAGGTAGATGGGTCCTTGCATGTTCTCACAACTTCTTCCATGAGCTTTGTTGTGTGTATGGCTCAGGGATGTACTCCTATTCTCTTGAACTTTTTAAAGTTGATGGTGAATTGAGTATCTTAAAGAAAAAAAAAAAAAAAAGGGCATTGCAAAAACAAGATCTGGCTCAACTGCCCTAAGTTATGGTATAGCAAGGTAAGTTCTTCGGGCAAGAATCAGATTCATAATATTGTGATACTGAATGTTCATTTTTCTAACTTTCATTTGAGTGACAAGTAAAACTGGACTAGTAACTGAAACTTGAAATCCTTTCAGGTGCAACTTCCTGCTGTATTGGAAATTATTGAACTTCTATTTTTCCTATCCTACCTATCATAACAAGATCATAACAATTAAGCCACCTAGCTTATTTTTAATTCTTCACAACTGCAGCAACCCAGTCTAGGAGCTTCGTGTATAGGAAACATCAAGTAATGCTATAAGTATCTAGGTACTCACGGTTTAGGGAAATATGCTATCTGCTTTCTGGCTAACACCCTACATGCCTAGATACTGGAAAAAAAAATTACCTGGCCCTTCAAAAATTGTTGGGTTTTTGTTTTTTAATTAGTGCTATGTGTTTTTGTTTGAAGCAGTAAGGGTTTAAGGTTCATACCCCTTCCTTAATAAGAAAGGTTATGTTGAGAAAGGGGAAAGACAATTCTTTTAAATGTAAAGAGATTGGGCTCTCAGGCACGTAAAATCCAGAACCTGTTATATGAATTCATGAGAAGGGGAACCATGGTAATTCCTGTGATGAGCTGGGGCAAGTGAAGCAGCAGCTGTATTTCATCCTCTCAGTGTTGATCCTGGTGCTTGAAATAATTTGACGGATTACTGTTGCACACCTCCAGTTGTAATGGAGGGCTGTGCTCTGCCTGTAAATGGTTTAATTACTTCTAGGGCTTCCTTTAGAAAATAAAGCTCTTCTAAAGCATCTGAAAGATCACATGTGCAAGAACAGGCTCTTTCCCAAACAATCTATAAATACTGCCCTAAAATGGACTGTCTTGCTTTCCTGCATGGTGCTTGCCTGTGGGACCAGCATGTATGGCCTTGCCAACCTGCCTAATTGCGCTGCAATTTCAGCTGCGGAGGCTGTGTGAGGCTCAAAAGCTGGCTGAGCTGAGCCAGCAAGAGGCTGCTGCCGTAACCTGGAAGGAAACGACTGGTGTCAGGAATAAACTTCCTGGGTTGGCCTGCGGCCGGGGCAGCGCGGAAGGAGCGGCAGCGGGAGACATGGGCTTCCCCAGCAGCACAGGTAGTGGGTAACTGTCTTTGCGCCTCTTTTTATTAATATTTTGAATCTGTTAAGCTGCCTGAGCCACGGCGCGCTGCGTTGGGAGGGTTCACAGACATGTTGTGAACTTCCTGTCTAGCAGCGGAGAAACCATTTCGGGTTCGAAGGAGGGAAATCTGATGCTTTTAGCGGGTTAGCTTTGAGGTTTGAGCCCCTAAAGGGGCAAGAGATGACTTCTCCTACCTCTGCTGTTGGCAGAGGGCGATAGAAGTTTTTTGCTGCTCTTTAGGGGAAAAATAGGATTACGTTTGTTCAAGCGTGGCATTTGCTTTCACTTGCGTGCTCGCCTTGCGAGTCTGTGCTCCCTTCTGGAAGTCATCTTGCAGGCAGTGCTGGTTCTTACTATGCTTAAAAAGTGACTGTAGCACTTCATGCTAGTGAGCTTAAGTAGCAAGCATGCTTCAGCATCTGTTCGCCTCTGAAAGAGCGCAGCGGCAAGCTAGTTTCCGATTTTGACCCGTTGTGGAGCGCAGACGGCGTTCCGCTAAGCTCAGCGGGCTTGTAACAAGTTTGACCCTTAAACACGCGGACTTAGTGAGCGTGTTCTGAATTTGTCCTTCATAGCCTCTTTGGTTAGCAGGGTGACTTGCAGGGCAGGAATCTGCTCTTTCACAAGGGTAAATTGGAAATAATTCTTAGGAAGCCGGGAAGGATAGCTGGGTAAATAGCGTGACAGTCAGTGGAAAGCCGGTCCCATGTTCCTTGAGGCTGAAGCGAGGGGTGGAGAGTCAGGAATCTGACGCAGATTTCAGATGTGCTAATTGCTTCTGGGTCCCTCATAACTCCTGTCTACCCCAGGGCATGTGGGGAGGCCTCTGGGGTATTAAAAACCCATAATTATGGTTTCAGAGGATTAAAAATTATGGATGTGTACAAAGCTGAGGATGTGTTCTCCCTTTGGAGGTGGGTGAGGTGCATTATCAGCAGAGATAACGTGTTTTGTCTGTGCTTGCTTTTCGTACAGAAAGAGCAAAAAAAAGTTCAAGTTAAATGCACAGCAGAGGCAACATTGGGCTTTAACTGCTGCAAATTAAAAATTCAGTTCTCTTTTTGAAGGAGAGAAATGCAACAGCCATGGGGTTTGAGTTGAGAGGATGTTGGGCTTTCTCACAGCAGTCTAATTTGCAGGAGGAAGAAACCTCTAGCAAGGAGGATTATGGCAGGAGGAGCTTGTCTTACTCTGCTAGTGAGAAGATGACAAAGGATTTCAGTTAAAGGGGAGCATAAAGCTATTACCTTGGATGTCAAGTAGCATTATGGAGAGAGCGTATGTATCCCTCTAAGGGTAGTTGGGATATGCATCCTTGGGGTTTTGCTTGTTTGAGTTTTGAGGGGGTTTTTGAGAAAATAAGCTATTGAAGGAGGAAGGCGCAGAGCTGTCAGCCACTGGCTCAGGAAGGGTATATTTTGCATCGCTTTCGGGAATCAGTAGATGCGTAGGGCTGCAGTTCAGGTTTGAGGCCGTGTGCGAGCGGGTAGCTGAGATTCGGCTCCCGGGCGGGCGGGCTGAGGGCTACGGGTTGTCAGGCCGGCTTAAGCTCTGGCTCGGCAGTGAGTCACGCACGCGTTGGCGGCAGGACAGGCCCTGGCTTCGGCTCCCAAAAAGTCAGGTTCCGTGGTGCGGTTCTGCCCGTCTCCCGCGTACAGTCCCCTGGGATGTCACTGCTGACAGCAAAACCACAGGGCTTGGAGTCACAGCGCAGCGAAATTGCAGGGTACGACTCTGGTGTAACTAAATAAAGCTCTGCCCTGAACGCCGCCTCCTTCGCGGCGCTGCTCTAGAGAGACGAGTGACCTATGCGTCTTAGCTCCTTGCTGTTTGCTTGGTTACCTCATCTGCTAATGTCTTCAGCCCTCATCAGGCTCCCTCTGTAGTCACGGATCGAGCTGTCTGAGGGATGACAGCTCTGTTTCAGGCTAGCTTCCAGTGGATTTTTTTGGTTTGGGTTGTGTTTTTTTTCCCGTAATACATTGCAAAAAAAAAAAAAAAAATTCTTTGCTGGTTGAAAGGCTGCTTTTTTCTTGGGTTTATTTGTTAGTCGCCTTGTTTAGAAGTAGCTGGAGACCTTGAACAACTCCCTGCTGAAACCGTGCTCCTTGCAAAGCAGTCTTTTGGCTGCTTGGGCTTGTGAGCTTGCTGAGGAAGGGGCTTAGCCCTGCACTGGCTTTCAGCATCCTGGACAAGTGTATAAGGATACTTGCTAATGAGCCTTATGACACCCAAATTCATATTCAACTTGCAGGGTCTATGGTGCCTGGCTCTAGGGGAGAGCTTATTTATACCTGGCATTATTCAGGAACTTCTGTCATGTTTTAAACATGTTCTACTTTAATCTGACTTTGCTTTCAAATATCGACATGCCCTAACTGTCCCTTTCCTTGCAGTTGAGGCTTGGTATTTTAGGCTTATATACAAAGCTTTGTCTGACAAGATTTAACTCCTGAAAATGAAGATGTCTTTGCTTAGCACAGGCTGTGTGTGTGTGTGCGTGTCTTAATGAACTTGATCCACATGTGTCTCAGGCTCTGCTATCTAGATTGCTCTGATTTTATTTCTGTTCTTGCATTTGTTTTCCAGGTTCTAGTTGATGCCCGGGCCTCCTTGTTATGATGCCGTCACGCACCAACCTGGCTGCTGGGATTCCCAGCAGCAAAGTCAAGTATTCCAAGCTCTCTAGCACTGATGATGGATATATTGACCTGCAGGTAAAAAGCGGGGAGGAAGACATCATTGCACGGCTGCTCTGACTGTAAGCTGCAGACTGCTCGGAGAGGCACTATAACTTTGCCTAAGCGCGTGAAGCTGCTTTTTGTTCATCTCCTCCAGTGCAGCCTCATATTGGAAGGGCACAAAGGGCTGGGCTACAGGCCCAGCACTTCAGTCCTTCTCCAGAAAGTCTACGTAGAGCCTCACTGTGGAAAACAGAACTGCCTTGAGCCATGCTAGTGCTGGGACGCAGCTTATTTACTAGAGTCGGCTCTATCTCTTCTGTGGAGGGAGGTGAAAATCTGAGGATGGATATTGATGGCTGCAAGCTGATGGAGCTGATCCCCTTGCTGGCAGGGACACGAGCAGAGCTGTTGCTGTGGCCGTGCCGTACGGGCCAACACCTGCAGTGGCTTGTCTTCTGTCCTTCTCCCTGCTAGTTGTGGGATTCGCGTCTGTGCTGTGGCCGGGGGTAGGGGGGAAACGTGCTGATTTTCATGCTATTTAATGTTTGTCTCCATATGCAGTTCAAGAAGAGCCCACCAAAAATCCCCTACAAGGCAATTGCGCTGGCTATAGTGCTCTTCATGATTGGGACCTTCCTCATTATCATAGGAGCCCTCCTCTTGGCAGGGTATATTAGCAAAGGGGTAAGTGGTTTGGGTGTACTTCTGTTGCAGATGTTATTTTGTTTCCCCTCCCTAAAGCCTGCTGTGGACCCTTGTGCTCAGGGTGGAAGTTGAGAGCAAAAGACCTGTGAAGCAAGGAAGTAATCCCCCGCAGCCTCACTGGTGTTTGCTGCCAGCTCTGTTTCTCTGGCAGCAAAACCCTCTGCCGCCTTTAGTTGAGCAAGACTGGAGCTGGACTGGAGATCTGCGAAGAAGGGCTGGGTTTCTGTCCTGCCTGTGATGTGGTTTTGTTTCAATGCTCCATAATTGTGGCGGTCAGGTTGCTGTCTTGATAAAACTTTATGCTGTGCTCATTGCTCTCCTAAGGAAGGTCTTTCTGTAGGAGATCTCTAACAGCTATATAGGACACAGCACTATTTTCCTTATCTCTCTGCACTTGCATTGAAAGCATCAGGGAAGAAAGTGGGTCTGTGTTTGCATTTGACGTTGTGCTCCACTATTATGCGCTTCTCCTTTTACCTCGTGCGGCACGGGATGGCTTTACAGTTGGCAGCTGCTTATCGTGCTGGAAACATCAGTGTTTCAGCTGTATCGGAAGCGGTCCACGCGTAGATAGGAGAGCTCGCTTTTGGCCAAGCGTGTAGGACTGAGCCTGTGGTTGGCAATTTTGTAGTGTGATTAGTGTTTGAAGGAGCCACCCCTCCTACCCGAAGGGAAGGTTCAGTTGAGGTTTCCTGTAGTAAGGAGCAGAAGCCAGACCAGGAAGAAGTATTAGAGCTTTGTTACACTGCTTGAGCTTGCAGAAACAGAGGGATTTCTGACCTGAGCTCAAGTTTAAGTTACTGTTAGCTAGCCAGACCTCAGAGACAATAGATAAGGTGGTTTGCTTCACTAAGCCCTGTGAAGCGGGATGGGCAAGGGAAGAGCTGCTACAGATCTCTTGCTGTTGCACTTAAGGTTTCTCCTGTTTTGTCCCTCTGCTGCAGGGAACAGACCGTGCAATCCCTGTGCTGATCATTGGGATCCTTGTGTTTCTACCTGGCTTCTACCACCTGCGTATTGCGTACTATGCTTCCAAAGGCTACCGGGGTTATTCCTACGACGACATCCCAGATTTCGATGACTGAACCACGTTCTAGATCACGTTGTAATAAATGAAGTAGATCAGTCACAAGATGCTGCTTTCTGGTGTTGTAAATATAGTGTTGAGGTGTTACCAGTTTCTCATTTGAGGGAGTTTTAAACATGGGATTGACCAAAGGGATTGCAACATTATGTGGGGAGAACATGTGATTGATTTTTCCTCTTTTGGTTACGTCATGCTGGTTGCTTGTAAAGAGTTCTTCTTGGGCAAGGAAATTTTAGCCATTTTCCAAAAATAGATGAGCCAGACAGTTTCATCAGCACAGATATTTGTTTTTCTAACTATTTTCTAGAGTTTATTTTCGTTTTTGAAGAGATGATGGATATTCTGGGGTTTATTGTTGCAAACAAGTAGCAGATCCAATTTTTCTGGCGCTCTGTCCCTCAGGCGTTTCCAATGTACTTGTCTTGTGTTTGCATCTGGAATAATGGAGTCAAATTCACGCAAGAGGGATAACTGCACTTGCATGAAATACTTGACAGTGCATTTGCTACACAACTCCTCTTGCTAGAATGATAAATTATTTACTTGGCTAACATATTCCTCAGAAGCGAGCAGTTTCCCATGCCCCCTTTTGGCAAAATCCAGTTGTCATGCTTTAAAAGGACTGTTGTTGGATTTGGCTTATTGTCTTACGCTTAATGGAGACAGAGGGAGAAGAATTGGAATCCAGATCAGGATTCAAGTGTCTGAATACCAAAGTTTTTTGACTAGTGAGGAGATTGGAGGCACTTGAATTGTAGCTGTCTGTATGTACATTTGGGATCGTTTTGTCCTCCTGTAGACAATATGCTGTGCATAATTCCCTAGACAAGTAAAAAATCTGTATAAATTTGTACTGAATAAATCTAGTTTGTATTGTTTTGCTAGCTTCAATAATATGTTTTTCTGGGGAAACAGACTGATGGCTCTATACTTGATGTAAAGTAAAAAGTAGGTGTCTCCTGAAGCGGAAATGTTCTCTGTCCCAGAGAACGAGTGCACAACAAGTAACAGAAATACGAGACTCAAGTATATGTATCTAATATGAATAAACTTCACTATATTCTGCATGCAGTTCAAAATCTCATCTTTTTCACATTCAGAGGTAGGAACGTGTGCTAAAAGTTGTTCTGGGCAACCAGAGTTAAGACTCTGCTGTTGCCCACAGCTTCCTTTTCAATGGCAGAGGTAGCCACTGCGATCAGCAATAGGCTCTTGGCTGGGCCAGGAGCTTCAAAACAGCTCCGTGTGTTCCAGGACTCTTTGTGGAGGGTTGAAGGGGATGCTCTGGCACGTGGCAGTGCTGCTCGCTTCTGGGAAACTGGAATTGCCCTCGGCGGTGCAGCAATGCAGAGTGTCAGCACAGATTAACTCCTTGAACTTAACATGTGCTGCTTAAATGTGTAAGGACCCCAAATTTCCAATTGCTTTGATTCAGGGTCCAAATGCCTGTTTTTTTTATTGTGCCACATAACAGCAATGTCAGAATATGGCTTGCAAGCTAGTACTGATAGTCTAGAGTCATTTCAGGCTAGAGCAGATTGGCCTTGGAGGTGTTCTCGTGAGCAGAGAGGGGTTCAGAAGTCTTGTCTCTGGTGCCGAAGGAAGTGGTAAGTGCCTCCTGCTTCTGGAGCCCAGCTTTCCGGGCTCTGCCTGCCTGCTGAAGCCCTAAAATTTGGGGAGGGTGATGCTACTGCAGCAATTATCAGTCAGCGGCAAGGATGCTGCGATGGGGCGGACTGAAAATTTTCGTAAGGAAGAGTGGCAAGTCTGTCTTTCCCCTGCATCTCTCCCCTAGTTGGACTAAACTGGCTTGCGTGTGCCCATGTGTCATGCCCTGAGGAACAGCCTGATTGAATTCAGGATGGCCCTTTGCGTCTCCGGAGGGAAGGCCAACACGTTCCCTCCTGCCCTGCTGCGTCATGCTGGCCCTGGCCCTTGCGTTCCTGCCACTGCCAGCTTCCTGCTTGGATGTCAGCCCTGCTTCCCAGATGTTGTCGCAAGCTGCTTGGCAGCAGCTGAAATCCAGCAATTAAAGCTGGGTCTGGCCAGGAGAGCTGATGTAAAACCATGAATCAGCCCCTATGAGAGGTTAGGAATGTGGGTTGGTTTTTGGGAAAGGGGAGAGGAAGCAGAAGGGAAATTGAGCTGGAAAAGGCAGAGGGGGAGGGAAAAGATGCTTTTAGGTTTTAAAAAAAAAACAAAACAAAACAAAAGTGAGAATGATGAGATGCAGAAAGCAGGGAAGCCTGGGGCAATTGTGAGGGGTAAGTAATTGTAGAGAACAAGAGAAGAGTGTGCTGATGCTTCTGGAGGGACAGCAATTAATTGATTTATTTTTTTATTTGATAGGATCAAGGTCCTTGGGCAGCACAGTGTAAATAACAGCTGCTGCTGCCCTAGTGCTGCCAGGGCTGTCTGTATGAGCAGTGGACAGCACTGTGCTGCTAGGCACAGTGACATTTTCCTTTGTACAGGGATATTTTATATCTAATTTGGAAAAAGAAATTCTGGGGGGAAAAGATATGAGCAGCACTAGAAATATTTATATCCAGGCTGCTTCATTCTTTGAAAGCTTATTTATTGTATTCCACACATGGTTTTCCTCCAGGGTTTAAGTCTGTATATGTTCAGACTATTGACTGTCCAGCGGTATACCAAATACCTGGTGTTCATTCTTTCTTACTAAATAGGCTAAGTTTACATTTATTTTGGAAGAGTGCAAAATTTTACTGCATTTTTTTTCCTTTTTGCTGCTGCCCCCCTCAGTGGCTGTAGAGCACGGATGCTTAAACCGGGAGCGACAGCTGTGGCACGAGGGAGCCTCGGCTAGGCCTTGTGGTGGCTATACTGGGACGAACTCGCTGGTTACCAATTACCTATGCTGATCTGCACAGAGGAGGCGTCCCAGGTATGTGAGGATGAGGGACAGAGCTGGCCTAGCCCAGGGTCACCGCAGGATCCAAACCCAGATGGATGGGGAGGTCCAGCATGCTCTGCTCTCTGCTGTCTTGAGTGCTAGAGATAACATCCCTGGGCCGTAGATGCTTTAGTTTCTGATATGCAGAGCGCCTGGTGCAGACCCATATAGCAGGGGTGTTCCTATGGTGCAGGTTTGAGCATAATCAGTGCTGTCAGCTCATTTTCTTAATGTTTTCCTTAAAGCCCAACCCCAGGCATTATGTGAGCATGAAGGCATTGCAGTTTTCCTTCTCGACGGTGACGTTGCCCACGTGCTGTTGTTGCAGTGCCTTTGCAGACACGTTACAACAGCATCTTTCAAGTTTTTCCTCCCAATCCTGTCGTGCCAGGGGCCCGTTTCACATGCTGCATGTGTGATTCCTGCAGCTGGCTCATCTCCTTTGCGGCCTTGCTTGGCCTCCCTGAATACTTGGCTGTATCCCCGCGTGCCCAAAGCACTGCCAAACCCCGCAGTTAATGGCTGCACTCCTCAGTTCCCCTTCTATAAAACAGGTATTGTGGATTTTTTGGGAAGACCTAACTCGTGACAGTGATGAGGATAACGGGAAAACCCCAATGAAGAAGCTCTTGGTTCTAGAGCAGGGCTTGAATGGCAAATAAGGCACAGGCCTCACGCTGATGAATGAGGATAATACTGAATAGCTATTTCCTTTATTGAGCATCATCCATTCTGGGCGCTCAGTGAGGCAGCTGCCTCGGAGAAAAAAATAGTCAGCATTTATATAGCTCGAAGGGGTGGTATTATGCACAGAAGCTCTGGAGCGAGAACAAGCACCCATATTTCAGGCTTCTGTAGTCTGTGAGCACCTGAATTCATAACCCCAGTGATGTCACAGAATCACAGAATGGTTTAGGTTGGAAGGGACCTCTGGAGATCATCTAGTCCAACCTCCCTGCTCAAGCAGGGTCCTCTACAGCATATTGCCCAGGATCACATCCAGACGGGTTTTGAATATCTCCAGGGAAGGAGACTCCACCACCTCTTTGGGCCACCTGTCCCAATGCTCTGTCACCCTCACAGTGAGGAAGTTTTTTCTCAGGTTCAGGTGGAACTTCCTGTGGTTCAGTTTGTGCCCGTTGCCTCTTGTCCTGTTGCTGGGCACCACGGAGAAGAGGCTGGCCTCATCCTCTTGACACCCCCCCTTCAGATACTGGTACACGTTGATGAGATCCCCTCTCAGTCTTCTCTTCTCCAGGCTGAACAGGCCCAGCTCTCGCAGTCTTTCTTCCTAGGAGAGGTGCTCCAGCCCTCCAATCATCTTGGTAGCCCTCCGCTGGACTCTCTCCAGGAGTGCCATGTCTCTCTTGTACTGGGGAGCCCATGTCCTTCTATTGCTATTCTGTGCGGTGCGTTTATATGGTTATGTCCTTATTTTAATACCATAACGTTGCCAGGGAGACATTTGGAAACACTATTCCAGGGGCCCCGAAGGCTGAGTTAGCAGCCCCAGAGAAACCCCCCAAATGCTCTTTTATTTATAAAAGCAAAGACTCATTCTAAGTCAATTCCATGATTTTTTTTAAGTGGTTAAAGCTAATGAAATTTCCTGAGCACCATCACAGCAGAGCACCAGCTAGGCAAGCTCTTCGAAACCTCTAGGTGAAGAAACTGAGGGGAGGAAACAAGGTAGCAGCAGAGGCAGGGGAGGCCCTGGGTAGCTACAGCCATTAACAGCAAGATGTGAAAACTGATGCTACACCCTAAAGGGCTTTCTCTGTTCCTCCTTTGCCATGGCTCAGCACTAGCAGCACCTTCTGCACCCACCCCCCCGGGGGCCTGTCCCCTCCTCTCCAGGGGGCTCCTTGCTGCCACAGATGCCACCAGCCAGGCAGAGTGGCCACCAGCAGCTCCATCTTGGAGCTCTATGCCACATGTAACTAATGTTGATTTCTTTTTTAATGCTTCCTGCAGCTGGAAGGGAAGTCAGGCAGCAGGTCCATACCAAGCAGTGACATTAAGGCACAGCGCTGAGGAGCCAACCTGCCTCCCATGTGCTCTCTGGGGGACCTCAGCAGGACTCCAGGGGACATCTTATGC